ACCCTTAAAACCCATTTAAAACTAACTGAAATTTTAGTTAATTCAGTATATTCCTGACTTAATATTCCAGAATACATAATCATCTAAACCTTGTCCAACTATATGGGTTCAGCTACATGAACCTTGTTCCGCCACTCCATTCTGTTCAGTGCCATATCCATTGTTAAATAATGGACCCTTAAGTCATTCCACACTACTTCAGTCCACATGTCCCTTTTGGTCTGCCCCTAGCTGTTCTAGTCCCTTCAACTTGTAAGTTGTAACAAATCACTTCTTACCAGTGCAGTAGATGGTCTTCCCTGCACATACCCAAACCATCTTAGTCTACTCTCCCTCAGATTATCAATTATTGGAGCTACTCTACGTTCCCTTAAATAAGTTCATTTCTCCTCATGCCCTTAAAATAAATATTCCAAAAATTCCCATTAAAATATTTGAAACATTCTAAAATGTTCACTAAAATAAACCTGGACAAAAGGTTCAGTTTAACATGCCAAAACCAATGTATTCCAAAATTTCATTAAATCCCAGAAATTTAAAACCATGAAACATATTTCTCAGAATGAGATCTGTAACATCTTCTGTGTTCATTGTTAAACTACAAGTTCTCATGCATGCAGCTTTAAGGTAGAAAACAGGATGTAGAGAAAACACTTTTTATCGGTAACAATTAAGAACTTCATTAATGATTCAAGATGATCTTCAAGATGTATATACCATTTACAAAGCAATGAAGGGATCAAAATCCAAAATACATTTCAGCATCCAAAATACATTTCAGTAACCCTGATCCATTAAGAGCCCCATACATAATGATGTCATCCCAATGGGTGTTCACTGCTCACCCTACCTCAATGTCTGTCTGCCAACTCCCTTGCTGCCTTGCATGCAATGAAATCTGCCAAAGAATTAACAGGCCTAAGGATTCATGATATCTGCTTGACTTTCCTGACGTAGATGTTTAGTTTCCACTATCATGTACCTTAAAGCCCATGCCTGCTCGATTCTCCCCTTACCATCTTTTTATTATTTTGGACTCCTAACAACCTTGAGAGCCCAGCTACTATTGCTAATCTCAGCCCCTACAAAACATCAAGCAGATCTGCTTTAAAGGAATTCCCAGCCCCAATAGGTCTAGAAAAGGCAAGCATAATCTATTCTCAATGATTTTTTAACACCCAACCAATACTTGATTATCCTGGGTTACGATGGCTATTACCACCAAAATTCATTTTGATTCTGTCCACTAGTGGAGGGACCCACATCATGTTCATTTGATTTCATAACAATGATGAGAAAACCCAGCTGACCATGCCCTAGTAATGTAATCATGGAGAAACATGAGAACTCTGTAGTCCTAGGCCAATGAATAAGGGGCCATTTGATAACAGCTGAAGTTGCTGAACTAAAAGACTTTTTAAGTTGTCTTTCAGCAGATAAAATCATTTTTTTTCAGTCGGCAGATAAAATCATTAAATAATACAGTATTAAAGGTATGGTTATATACCCAATTTCAGCTCCAGCTATTAAGAAGCTCACAACTTACTCAAAAAACTTAGTCACTAAAAGGCAAAGCAGTAAGCTTTTCAGTTCAACCACTTTGGCGATTATCAAAGAACCTCTCTTCTCTTGACTTAATTTTGCCTAGGAACAACAAGATGATTAACAAACAGCCCCTATTACACCTTGCATTACAATGGTAACCTTGCCCTTATTTAGACTGATTTGTTATGGTCACTTGCTGTTACAATTTCAGTTTTAACCTCTCTAAGTTCTTCCGCGTCCTTTTGGTTGTTAATTTGGGATAAGGATCAAACTAAACAAACCGAGGGCCCTGTGGCTTGGTTTCCTACTTGATAAAGATAATCACATCCACTAATGTTTGTTACCATTCAGGAATCTGATCATAAGCCCAACCTCAATAGTATAACATGGAAGGATAAACTGAACTGCTGATAAGCAAAAGAATTGGAAAGAAATTAAAAGAAAAGCACACAAGTTTTTCATAAATAACTTACTATGAAATAAAAGGTTCTAAGTTTCCTATTGTAGGGTTGTAGCCAACCATGCATATTTTTTATATAAAGAAAGAGTAACATCTAAAGCTGGTAACTAAAACTTGCAAACAAGAAAAGACAAATTTGATGCAAATAAAACTGTAAATAACAAGCAAGTTCACATGCAAAACAAAAAAGACAACTAATTCTAGCTCCGTTAAGAAAACAATTTTAGGACCAACCTATAAGAGATCATCTATAAGGTAACATTCAGATAATTACAATTGAAATGAGAAAAAAAAAAAGAATGCTTCAAAAAATATGAAATGAGAAAAGCACGCTTCATATCACTAGCAGTCCTTCACATGATATTCCCATGGAAAATAAGATAAATGCCTCTATAGTTAATGAAGGCCCATAGTTTCATACCCCTGATGTTCCAGAAAGTCCTGTTTTGGTCTCACTTGGTTTAACATAAAGCCATTGAGGAGAAAGAGGTATGCTGCTCTCAGATGTTGCTTGATCTGCAAATTACCAAAAAAGCAAGCCAAGTAAATACAAAATATTTCTAATTTTCCACAAAGGCATAACTTTGTGCAAACAAGAATAAAATAGCAAGAAGTAAGACATGGCCAATGATGCTGCAGGGAATGACATGATAAAACCGGTTTACTGGTGGTGAAATCTATTTGCCCACTGTTGTAATTTTTTTTACCTTCAATGAAAATTTCTTTATTATTGTCAAAAAATAGTAGCTTGACTAAAAAATCAAATTTCACAATTTAAAAATAAATTGATCCATTAAAAATACAAGGGAAAAAATAACTACCCTTTGATTCATCAACAAGCCCTGCAGGGACCTTTTCCTCGTCATGTCCTCCTAAAGCTTCCTCTGTAAGGGTACAAACAAATGAGAACAGTTAAGACATACCAATGTTCATTTAATATTTTCACCTGAGGGGAAGTATAAATAAGTAAGGCCAATCATAGAGAATACAGAGACCTAAAAAAATAGCATGTAATAGAGAAAATCCTCTCATGATAGTGTGATTTCAGTTCTGAAAGAAAACAGAAAGACAAAGGGAGTCATTGCTTGGTGGAATGGTAAAAACTTAGGCTGACAAGTGCAACAACAAGGATTTAAGTTGGAAGCACAATTACTAGACAAAAATAAATGGCAGGGTTTGTATCCCTATCTAGTACACCCCTCACAAGACCAAGGAAAGCTGGGATCTCTCTTAGTTAGTTGTGCTTAAAGGACACAGAGAGACAAATCAAATTAAAATACATATTGCATCAATTTTAACCCTAAAATCATTTAGAAATCCTATTCTTCTTGATGACTTAGGATGTGCAACAAAAAACTGTATGCAAAATCCCTAGGTTGAAAAAGGGGAACCAGAAACAGAGCATAAACGTTATGACACATATTGTATAGCACATAGTAAAATCAATGCAGGAGCCCGCTTCCAACCAATTTGTTAACAGGTGTTTCGTTATGAAAAATGAAATATAGCATTTATTGCAGAACTAGTTTTATTATGAAACAGCCTTTCAGAAATCATAGAGCCATGGAGTGTACTGAACTAAACGCGAAGAAGTGGAAACAATTTGTTTATCCAAAGGAAGTAGAAACAATTTTCCAAATAACCAAATTTGGAAAAGCCTTGTAAATCAATACTAGATTCCTGATCTGAACTGATAAAGTAACTGGAAAAACAATAATTATATGACGTGATCTTCGAAACCCTAACAAATCGATCTTCTCACCTTCTGACGCTAAAACCCTGACAGAGATTTAAATATCATAGTACCCGAAACCAAAACCACGAAAGCAAATGTGGATTAGAAGAAATCGCAACGAACAATCCATCAATCGAAAGCAGAGACTCCAATACTTAAGATCGAGCAGTGAACACTAAACAGTAACTTCATCACAACTAAAATCCATTTAACCGGTGAAGAGTAACAATCAGAAATAGTAAAGGCTAAATACAAGCATTCGGGAACCCTAAATACCTTTGGAGGCCCATAGCTCATCAGCCGGTTTCAAGGACAGAAGATCATCCGGAAGATCAACCTTGCCTTCAGCCATCTTTGCAGTGGATCGTCAGAAATTACAAGGTGAAGATCGAAATAGAGAATAACCGAATTAAGGTTCTACTAATCCAGTCAGAGGAGCGGAGCACAAATAAACAGGAATCCGACGGTACAAGAGAGTTCAGAGGGGGTTGTGCGTGGCGAGGAGAAAGCACGAAGAGATCGAAAAAGGAGATACTTGGATGCTGAATTTCTAGGGTTTCGAAACTCAAATGAAAAGGTGTGAATTACAGAGAGAGAAAGATAGATAGCAAGAGAACCGAGCATGAAGAAGGTAGAAAAGGGTGAGGGTTTGGGTGGTCAAAACAGCGAAATGAACTGTGCCTATGGAGGAGCTTTAAAAAAATAAATAAATAGGGGAATGCCAAACTCACGCAATATGATGTCGCGTCTGGACCCCCATGAAACAAATATTAAGGATGCAAGTCGGCGGGCTGGGCCGAGTTTTAGCTCAACCAGGCCCAATCGTAAGAATAGGACCTCAAGACCGAGCCCAAGGTGAAGCTCAAATTATCCAACCCAAGCTCAGCTCATACTAAGATTTCATGCAATGAGGTTGGGCTTAGATCCGGGCCAGGTTCATGTTGGTCTATCGGGTATGACCTGGCAGGAGCGTCAGCTCGGCACAGGCACAGCCATATCCCAAAAAAAAAAAAAAAGAAGAAGCCCAAGCTTCCCAAGGAGAGACCCCGAGCTCCCCAAAAGGAACCCGCGCTTCCCAGGAGGTGGAACCCGAGGTCTCCCTAGAAGTCCCGAGCCTTGCAAGGAACTCCACAAAGGACGAAGCTCGGACTAACCCGCCTCGGGTCAGTCCGGGCCACACCCCGGCACCTCAGCTCCAGGTCGTGTGACTGTATAACCGTACCTGACAAGGAAGCCCGTACTCTAAGGTGGCGCACCTGATTAATCAGGGATTTAACAAAATGACAACTGTACTCCAACGGCCACCTGCTACCGCCATCTTAGATTGTTGCAAAGACAGCCCTGACAGGGAAGACAATGGCGGTTATGCCTGCCCCCCACAGAGGCGGTTATACCTGATCTGGCAGAGGTTTGGGAATGAGTGCACCAGGGTAGTTATAAAAGGACCTCTTCCCCCAGAGTAAAGGTATGTGATATTTTTGCGCCTTCTGGTCTCAGAGTCTCTCATTCTTCTTGCCTTCTCAAGAGTACTAACTTGAGCATCGGAGCATTCCCACCGGGTTCTTCCCCCGGAATCTCTTATTTCCACCCTGTTTCAGCCATCTTCTGCTCCGACAGAAGCAAGGTGACCGGTAGTTAGGACCGACCGGATTGTGCATCATCAAATCCAATGTTTAAATTCCTTAAGACTATGTTTGATTTGAAGGAAAATGAAGGAAAAAGTGAGAAAACCTATAAAAAATTTGTAAAGGTTTCCCTCCTTCAAACCAAACACAGCCTAAGGGCTACGCCTGAGCTCAGCCCAAAAATTTAAAATGCCTAAACTATTGGGTGCAAACCAACCTAAGGATCGAAAATTTTGTATTATTTCGTATGTATTTTTATTGTATATATTTGTATTTATATTCCTTCCAAACTGAGCTTAAGGCTTATGATCAAAGTAGCGAGCACAAATCATTCCCAACATGTTAATGGACCAATCATTCTCAAGGCCATGAACTTTGTTGAAAGAAAGTTGAGAGAAACGCCTGTAATTCAGGATTTTAGAAAATTAAGGTTACATTTGGGTATATTTCTATTTTTGTACCATAAAAGTACAAAAGTATGAAGCATTTATTGGGGAGAATATTCCTCCCTGCTGGACCTAAGTCTTTGTAATATTTTATCTGTTATCTATCAAAAAATGAAGTGTTTATTGTATTCTTGCTTGGAAATGCAATTGATAAAACATGCTTCCACGCATGCTTTTCAAAATAAAAGTAAAACATGGAATTTGGATACAATAGGGTGTTGCATATGTGTGAATGCCATGTGGCATCTATATAATGCTGCCACATAGTGTGCCAAAAATGCCACAAATGCCATATGACATACATGTATCATCAAATACATTCAGATGTTACATGTCATCCATATATGTTATCACGTGATGAATATCATATGACATCCATGTATATTATCACGTGATAGGGGCTTAAGTACCAAACATATAGTTAGTGCATATGTTTTAAAGAGTATAAAGTATTTTAAAAGCCTAAAAGCACAAAATATGAAAAGCCAATTTCATACTTTTTGAGCCATTTGTGCTTAAAAATAAACCGCCCAAATAAATGCAGTATTGGTTTTTATACTTTTAAAAAGCTATCCAAACATGGGCCAAGTTAAAAGGGGCAAAATGGCGTCATAAACTAACATAAGGGTGATTTAAGGTTTTACAAATGACAAAATGAATATTCCATGGAACTAACTGACGGAAGAAGGTGCCAACCTAGCTTGCTTGTAAAGTCTTTAGTTGGTTGTAGTGGAGACCCAGGATAAGTCCTATCTAGGAGTGTTCATGGTCCAATTTGGTTTGAGCTGAAGAAGATCTTACACCAAACTATTAAATTACAATATGAGAATTTACCAAACCAAGCAAATCATTTTAGAATAAAAATTAACCAAACCAAACCATTACATTACAATTTGGTTCAGTTTCTAATACGATTTGGACCATATATTGTACTTAACCAAATTAGAAAACCCCAATGGCATATCTACATAAATAACAAATATAATTCAAATAACAAATTAAAATGTTAACAAGCCACCAATTACATTCACACTTTCCCAAATATAATTGGCTCCTTGGGCACCAAATTACAAGTCAAAATTTGAAACAAACAACAAAAATGCATGAAATGTTAAATGAATACAAACATACATACATACATCATACATATGTTCAAACATATTATTATAAATATTATATATATAACAATATATTGATAATAAATTTGGTTTACAGATTTCTCTAATTTATAAAGTCCAAACAATCAAACCAAACCAAAATCGTTTTAACACCATATCAGACTAAACCACCAATTCCGGTTTGGTTTGGTGTAGTTTGGCATTCTAAACCATATAATGAGCACCACTTTTGATTTGGTTCACTTGAATTTCGAGGGGTGTTTAAGCATTCAGGGGAGTCTTTGTCACAAAACAAAGTTCAAGGGGATCAAATTTTGTTTCAATAGTGAATTTTAGTCCAACACAATTTAACCAATTTTCATCTTCCATGGGTAATAACTTACTCACCTATGGGCAAAACTTTCATAGGTAAATTGCCAAAAACTTATATAGGGGAAAGTTTTGTTTTTATGAGACCCACACTTCACTAAGGCTCTGTTTGGTTTGTGGGAATATTTGGGTGGGATGGGAAAAGATGGGATGGGATGAGATGGGAAAGTGTAAAAATTTACACTTCTATTGTTTGATTTTATATATGGGAAAATAATGGGAAAAGCATTGTTCATCATCTCCTACCTTCGGACAGTGCCACCGGAGACAGTAGTTTGGACTAACAGGTAGCAGCAAACCGTTCAGACTAAAGAGAAACCTAATTTTCCTATTCAAAAGAAGAAGAAAAAGGAGGAAGGGGAGTGACTATTCATCATTTCCTACCTTCAGACTAACAGGTAGCAGCAAATCGAACTCCATCTCTCTCCATTTCTAAACCTTACTCGTATATTCCTCTCCTTCTCCCTCCATCCTCTTCTTCGTTCGTTAGTCCTCTATTGAACGTCTCTGTCAGCGGCGAGGGAAGAAGTACACTAGAGTACCAAAGCCATTTGGTGAAATCTCACCAAACTAACTTCTGGGTTCGAACGAGGAAGGGGAAGTAGCAGATCGCCAGTGGTTTTGGTGCGACCCCTCCAGTTCCTGCATTTGGGTTCAAATGAGGAAGGGGAGGTAGCAAATCGTCGATGGTTTAGGTGCAACCCCTCCAGTTCCTGCTTCTGGGTTCGAACGTCTTTGTCACCAAACCAGCTCCTGCTTTTGTATTCTCCACACAAGTCATTCCTACTTCCTCCTCTTTCTCAAAATTTTCCACCGAGGTCGCACAATTTTAATGTGACCTTAAATCCACGATTTTGGGATCTGACATCCCACATTTTTCTCATCCCATCCCTCTCTTTCCCTCAAAATAAATGAGAGAAAAAAAGAATATTTTTGGAATATTCCCTTTTTTTCTCATCCCCATCCCACAAACCAAACAGAGCCTAATAAAGGAATATGAGAAACTTGGTCAACTTTCCCACTCACTAACTTTCCTTCCTCAAATGAATGGGGCCTAAATGCAAACTTTTGCTTTGTTTCCCACTCAAGTAATGGGGTTGTTCATTCTCTTATAGCTCGTGATTTTGATGTCATTGTTTGTTAGGGATGTAATCATCCAATTTGTTTGGATAATTTTTTGTCTTAAATTACCCGTAAGTTTTAGAAAATTGATTAAAATTACCCTTATTATTTTACAAAACCCTTTAAAATACCCCCTATGATTTTGTACGCATGTGATTGCATCTAACTATTGTAACTTTTATAAAATCCAATTTTACCATTTATCCATCGATTACAATAGAAATCCGTCAACCCACCTTTAACCGACTTAATTATAACTCCTAAATCAATCATATTTTACTTACTAATCTAGAACTTCGAGTAAAAATCAAAAGAGAATCTTTATGAAACATGGGCATTCATAAGAGAAGTTTATATAACAAGAGATGTTTGTGTTTGACAATGGTGAGAGCAATTTAGATGGAGAGGTAATGGGAAGGAATCCATGGTTCATTTCTATGATAGAAGACATGGCAACAATGATTAAAGAAGGTTGCAGCAATAATATAACAACTTATTCTTGAATTGGAACTTATTGATTGGTGTGGAAAATTCGACAGCTCCGATATCTCCACCTGCATGTGGGCTCATTGCTAGCAGATCTGGTGGTCTTCAACTTCTATAAGCCAAGCAATGGTTCATTAGTAGGAACGATCATGGGCCGGACCGAGCTAGGCCCGGGTTGAGTTTTGTTAGGATATGGGCTACCCAGGCCCGTCCGGGTTTAATAATCTGTGTCTAGGCTTGGAACCGGGATGGGCTGTGCTGAGCTGGACATGTGAGCGTGCCCAAAAGACGTCAGTTGATAATTCAACTTTCAATTAGGCTTGGACTTGGACTTGGGCCCTCAACTATGCTAAAACATTAAATGACGATTCAACTTTTAATTATAAATATCTATTCTATATTTATTTAAAATAATATAACAGATAAACATCTGATTTTTCTATCAAAGGTATATCAATAAAATAAAAAAAAAAGAAACCAAAGGCAACCTAAATTTCTTAAACACCAAGATGGTAACTTGTGGTATAGCAGCA